CTACACTTGGCATGGATGGGCCACAGACATCAGTGGATGGTGTTAGTGGGGCTGGTGGTGGTAGTGGCACCGCCATGCGTGACTCGCTGTTGCCAGCGGGGACCCACGCTGCTGACTCGTCAGTTCAAGGACAAAGCGGAGCGTCAGCCCCCAGCCCGCCCCAAACACCCGTACAACCAGCCTATGATGTCCGTATCCACCAGCAAACCGTATCTGGGATTGGCAGCCCAAAAACCCAATTTTGTTCCCAGTCCTCACCACTTTGATGACTCTCAAAGTGGAATTCTACCTACCCGTCCCCTTTGGAACCACGGCCAATGAACTGGAATTCTTTGACAGCCATTGATGGAAATTATTTTCAGGGAAAGTAATAAGTATTTTCAGTACACCATGGGGAAATACTATCTTATCACCACAGTCAAGACTAAAACAGGTGGAAGAGACGACTGTTGCAGAAAGTATTTGCTTTTTGCAACAATAATGCTTATGCCTCACGTCTTAAGCATAAAATAAAGGGATTTTCTGGTCCACAGATCGGCTAATTTGTAACCCCATCCTTCAGTGAAATAATACCAGTGAAAGGTTTATCTTGCTGTACGTATGTTGCACTTCTCTGACAAAACCAGGCCTGACAGAAGTGACAGGTTATACAAGATTAGAATTTTTTTCATGTATCTCAAACAAAAGTTCAGGATATACTTTTTTCCATTCAAGAATCTTGTAATTGACGAGTCTTTTATTTTGTTCAAAAGGTAGACTGTCATTCAAGCAGTATATACCGAGCAAGAGGAACCGCTTTGGTATAAAATTGTTTGTACTCTGTGATTGTGACGGTGGCCTGGTGTTGGATATTGTTGTATACACGGGTAGTAAAGCATTGAAAGATACCAAGATGTTATTGGGTATATCAGGTGACGTAGTGAGAAACAGATGGCCCCTTATCTTGGTAAGGGCCATACATTATTTACTGATAACTGGTACACAAGCCCATTACTCAGTGATTTCATGCGAGTGAACAATGACATCATGGCATTACGGTGGCATGACAAACGAGATGTCACATTTTTGACAACATTCCCCGTAATGAAATGAAGACAGTGGCAAAGTTGATCGAGTGACAAATGAACGATTCAAAAACCCAGGACAGTGATTGATTTACACAAAATGCCCTTGGTTGAAAGTGTGACAGCAGTTTGGGGTTTTGTGATGTTTTCGAAAGAGTTACAAGTGGTACAGAAACTTTTTTCCCCTCTCATGGACATTTCAATGCTAAAAATGCATAAAATTTTGTACCAAATAAAAATGGTAACAGACCACTAGGTGAATTTTTTTTTGTTGTTGTAGAAAACTCTAAGAAGTACCAGGTAACAACACCTGCAATACAACATGGTCCTCAATTACCACAATAACCCAAGGTTTGAGGGGGAAAAGGGTGATCATTTCATAATACAGCTTCCTTAAAACTCAAAAGAAATTTTGCTAAAAGAGAGATTGTCTGTCCCAAAAACAAAAGAGGGAAAACCAGACGAAAAGAACTGGGTTTAATTGTGAGGAATGAAAGGGTGCCTCTGTGCATGGTGCCTTTTTTCAGGATTCCACAATCCAGCAGTTCTAAAACCATGTCCAGTGATTGAAAATATGAAATATATGATAGAACATTAGTATTAACAATTTTTGGCATTTTTATTGTAATAAACAACGTGGTAAACAAAATATGTTAATAACTTTAGTGCGGTTATTGTTTTCAATACAGTGGTAATATAAATTCAATTATATCTTTATTGGTCTCTCAGGCCCCAATTTTAGTAGGAATGAAAAAAATTGGGAAAAAAAAAGAAAAAACAACTAAAACACAAAAAAATAAATACGGATGTGGAATTCGCGAGTTGCCCCACCAATTCATTTTCTACAAACTTTTGGCACTGTATCTCGTTAAGTACTAAACGATTCTAATTTTTTTTTTTTTTTATTCCTTCACAAAAATATGCTCTTTAATTCTGTAAAAAAAATAATTTTTTTTTTTTTAAAATTTCTTGGACATGGGGCTGACTAAGATTTTGGGTTGGACCCTGAAAGGGGTTAAAAAAAAAAAAAACATTTTTTTTTCTTATGAAAGGTAGAGAAAACTTTTTCTGAAGGGAATAAACAAAAAGTACGAAAATTTTATGGAAAACGACGAAATTATGCTCTCGCAAATTTTGATGTGTCTGCGTATTTACGAATCAGCAATTTTTTCCCCACAGCGATTTTTCCAACTTTTATCCCATTTAGGCCCAAATTTCTTATTCAGTGACCAAAATTTTTAAATATTTCACTAGTATTCCTTTATTCTATCGTTTTTCATAATAAATTGCCAGTCAAACCCTTTAAAATACAAAATAAAGTGATCGGAAATTGGTATTTTTTGGGCCAATTTAACACAAAGTTCAAAATATTTTCCCAAAATTCAAAATAGGGGTTTAGAATAAAACAATGTAGGTATTTGGCATAAACTAACATTTCCTCTGTTTATTAGTTACGTTTTTTAGGCTTTCAAATGAAATTCCCTTTTGATTTTTTTTGTCAAAATTAAATTTTTATTCAAACCAAAAAAAAAAAGTTTACGTTATGATTATTGTAATAATTGTATAAAAAAATCCCAATTTTGAATGTAATTAGACCCACACTGGCGTGTATTAGACGTGTGAGGTTGTTTGTTTACTCTTGAACATCTGCAAAATTAACATTTCTGCTACTTTGAGCTCAGTTTCAAGCCATTTCCAGTGCTAAAACCAATCAAAATAATCTCTGTTTCTGTAATACATCTTCCATTCTATCAAATGAGACCAAGAAATCGCAAATACAACTATAAAAACATACGAAAAAACACTGCAAAGTCGCTGTTTTAATCGAAAATCACAGTCTCAGTTTTTTTTTCTCTCATTATACACTGTGTGCTGCAGGATTTGCTTTATGTGGTGCACACATACCACATAGATATATTCTCTCATATCTAGGTCCAAATTTACCACTCACAGCTTATCAGAGTGAGCTGACCTCATGGCGTAGATCTACGTTTGGACCCTGAACATAAAGCCGTAGATTTATGGCACGGACCCTGAAAGGGTTAAGAATATCCATACTTATTCATGTGCCTACTACATACACAGAACAATACACACAAATATAAACTCTCCACTCCAACTTCTCCTCACAAGCCTAAACAGGACACATGACCACAACACAAGACACAAATCTCTTTTTGATATACCTAGTGTCCATATCAGTGTAAAAACTCTATGCGCATAAAGGGCCCTAAAATATGGAATTCATTACCAGAAGATATTAAAGTAACCCAGTCTGAAAATCAATTTAAGACTTCTCAAAAGCCACTTAATCACCCTAGACTAAACGCTAAATACTCTGTACACACATACTCACCTATGTACTCCCACATCATAACTTCAACAATCACTTTGAACCTTTTATTCATTGTTGACAGGAATATAATTGAACCATTGTTTTCACAAAAAGCATTTTATTTTAGACTATATGAATATATCCTTTGTCTTTTACAAATTTAATTCACTTATAATTAATAATCTACTGTTCAACTATGAAATAATCACTATCCTACTGTACAACTATGATATAATCCTTAGTGTTAAGTAGTCTAAGCCAATAATGTTAAGTTGGCCCATAATGCCTAGGCATAATAAAGGCTCCCTTTGCATTGCAACCCACTATTGTAATTATAAAATCTCAATGTACTGTTTGCAAAGACATAAAATAAATAAATAAATAAAGTAACCTCATGCTTCATAAATCCATCCGCTGACACTTCAACTCCCAAATATCTAAAAACATTCGCTTCTTCCATATTCTTCCTTTCCAATTTGATATCCAATTTTTCTTTATTAAATCGTTTGATACCCTCATCACCTTACTCTTATCTATGTTCACTTTCAACTTTCTACCTTTACACACACTCCCAAACTCATCCACTAACCTTTGCAATTTTTCTTTAGAATCTCCCATAAGCACAGTATCAGCAAAAAGTAATTGTGTCAACTTCCATTTTTGCATTTGATTTCCCATAATTTAATCCCACCCCTCTCTCGAACACCCTAGCATTTACCTCTTTTACAACCCCATCTATAAATATATTAAACAACCATGGTGACATTACACATCCCTGTCTAAGACCTACTTTTACCGGGAAGTAGTCTCCCTCTCTTCTAAACACCCTAACCCGAGTCTCACTATCCTCATAAAAACTCTTTACAGCATTTAGTAACTTACTACCTATTCCATATACGTACATGCAACATCTGCCACATTGTTTCCCTATCCACTATCATATGCCTTTTCTAAATCCATAAATGCAATGAAAACTTCCCAACCTTTATCTAAATACTGTTCACATATATGCTTCAATGTAAATACTTGCTCTACACATCCTTTACCCACTCTAAAACCCCCTTGCTCATCCACAATCCTACATTCTGTCTTACCTTTAATTCTTTCAATAATAACCCTACCGTACACTTTTCCCGAAAATTTTCAGACACTGAGAGCAAGTTTTATTTTGGGGGTCTGGACAGTGAAAGGGTAAGTAAGAAATATTATTTCTGGAGCATTTGTAGCTTTAACCAATGCACGGTTTACCATTAGGAGACCTAAAAAAAAAAAAAATATTGTAAGGGTCTAAGGAATTTAACTATTTTTCCCTAATGTTTTTCAGTTTGTTTTATATCTTTTTTTTTTTTTTTTTGTCTGAGACACTGTTTTCAAGAACATAACTACCATCATAAATGGCAGTCTTTTTCTTTTGTCAGCTACAAGGTAAAAATTTTAGCCTTCTCAGTTGGTTTCAGTAAACTATTATTATTCTCTTTAGCACTAAATGTGCCTTTCCACAGATTTTTGGAAATTTCTTTTGAACACTACACATTAAATGCACATTTAAAATTTGCTATCAATGATATAACCGAGAAGAAAACATGTAAAATTTTACTTACCGGCTTTTCTAGGGCTTCAGCTGGCCAATTTTGTACGTGTGTAATGAGGTTTTCATTATAATAATTAGCGAGGCTAGGGGTAAGTGCAGGTACCAACGGCCGTAATCCTGCTAATGATCCTCCTGCTGTCTGTGTCAACGACTGCAATGAGTTAATACTGCTGTTTGGGCTACCCACTGAAAGAAAAGGAAAACTGTTGAATGAAATGCTTAACATGGTATACATTTCATGTCCTAAATTTCAATACTACAAGCCCTTCCTTAAGAAGTACAATGTAAATATGCATAAGTTAACTTGAATGAGGAGAAAGTGTGAAGGGTGTTTAGAGTGATAGAGGGTTTGAGTATCCAGCAGGTATGTGTAAACATGCTATAATATATATACGTATATATATACGCCTACCATCCGACTTACGACCTGCTCGACTACGACCACTCGACTTACGACTGTGTTTTTTGTGCCAAATTTCTGGGAAATAAACAACTATTCGTGTTGTACACAGTGTTTATCCTAAACTTTACAATATAAAATACAGTACTTACAACATAAAAAGTAAAGTAAAATGTGAAATACCAAAATAAAACAATAAAATAAAGTCATTACAAAAATGTTTTGTTGATATTCAGTAGTAAAGTTCAACTTACGACCATTTCGACTTACGACCGGTTTCTTGGAACTGAACTCAGTCGGATGGTAGGTGTATATACGTACGTATGTACGCGTGTGTGCGAGCGCGCGCGTGCGCACACACACGCACGCACACACGTACGCGTGTGTGTGTGTGTGTGTGTGTGTGTGTGTGTACACCTACCATCCGACTTACGACCAAGTTCGGTTCCGAGAAACCGGTCGTAAGTCGAAATGGTTGTAAGTTGAAATTTACTACTGAATATCAACGAACATTTCTGCTACTTTGAGCTCAATTTCAAGGTACTTTTCTTTGTAAAACCAGTCAAAATCATCTCAATGTCTGTAATATGTCTTCCATTCTATAAAATGAGACCAAGAAAACTAGAATACAACAATAAATACCATACAAAAATGCAGTGCAAAGTCGCTGTTTTAAGTCAAAAACACGGTTAAAGTTTTTTTTTTTCTCTCATTACGCACTGTGTGCTGCAGGATTTTTTTTATACTGCGCACACTGACCACATAGAACCATTCTTTCATATGTAGGCTTACCAGCTTTCTCTCACTAGATCTGAGGGCGCTAATTTAGGCATACTAGTACGTCAAAACCCCCCGAAGGGGTAATTTAGGGAGCTGAAGCTCTATAATAATAATAATAATAATAATAATAATAATAATAATAATAATAATATCATCATTAATTTAGGTAACTGGAGCACAGATCCAATTCCCTAGATCAAGAGCCCCTCACCAGCGTCAAGGAACCTTGACGCTGGTGTGGGCTCTTGATCTCGGGAATTGGATCTGTGCTCTAGTTACCTAAATTATTAATAATAATACTGTAATAGCAATAATAATAATTAATAATAATTATAATAATAATGAACGCTGCCAACTCACTGCACTGTTTACCTCGCTGTGGGAGCAGTTCTCTCATGCTTTGTTTACATTTTTGATAGTCATTTGGCCAAATTTGGCTTTTCTAAGCATGGGTCCCAAGAAAGTAAGTGTAAAGGACATTGCTGAGAAGAAAAAGAGGATGATTTCCAAAGAATTAAAGCATGAAATCATAGATAAACAAGTTAGGTGTCCAGATTTTGTGTTTATGGGGAAGCAGGGGGAGCGGACTCGTAACTCAGAGCAAAAAATCAGCCCAGGGACGGCTCGTATCTCAAAAAACTTGTACGTTGGGACACTCGTAAGTCAAGGTTCCACTGTATTAAGCAAGCAATAAAACTTGGCATTAAAAACAAAAAGGAAAACACACACAGTACGTATACTCGTTACTTACCTTAAAATATTTAGTCAATGTTGAGTGAGAGGCGAGTAAATGAGGTAAAAAGAATAAGAGAGAGAGAACGAGTAAATGAGAGACGAGACACAGAGAATGTAAACAGATGAATGCATCTGGTTTTAGCTGATACATGTTCATCTACACCTAATATATCATATTTATGTTAATTTATTCTACTGTGGGGTGTATTTATCGTGTTTATATGTTAGGTAGTGGGTTTATTATATAATTTTGAAAAAATATAATACATACAAGAATTAATGAAAATGTAATATACGATATTTAATACACCTCAGAGTGATTATTGAGTACTATTATTATTAATATGGCATCAAGACCAATAAGATACTAAGTGATTTTAACGAGTGCCTGCAAGCAAGCACACTGTGTAAGTTTATTTAGGTACAGGTATTATCAGAGTACAAGTACCATCCAACTTATGACCGAGCTTGGTTCCGACCAACCGGTCGTAACTCAAAATGGACGCAAGTCAAACCTTAGAAAATTGCTGACACACTGGGTAGGGCATAATGTCAAACCTTTGCTATTTAAAGTACCTACATAGTATCGTATGTTACTTTCTTGCCTTCTTGCCACAAGCTCCAGGGCAAGATTCAGACTTCTTATGAGCCATGGTGAAATTTATTGTCCAGATACATATATACAGTACAGTACAATACAGTTAATACAGTATGATGCTGCTGACAGGGCAGAGTAGCTCAAACTTATGCTGCCTGAGTGATCTAAGAGCTCTCCCAAGATGGCGTATTCCTGTGAGTAGTGGTCAACTGTCGTATGGTGGAATGCATCAACCCGCCCAGCCCTACTGCCAAACATACGGTCATAAATACGAGTGGTTGCATCTCGAGCAGGTCGTAACTCGGATGGTACATGTATATACAGTGGTACCTTGACTTACGAGTGCCCCCAACATAAAGAGTTTTCTGAATTACGAGCCGCTGCTCAGTTGATTTTTCGCTTTGAGTTGCAAGCCAAAAAGAGTTACAAGCGAGCTTCAGATACACTTTCCCCCCCCCAAAAAAAGACATTTGGCAAGAACCTCGGCCTAAATGGCACAACGGAAGGTGGTTTTGGGACTTGGTACAGTGGTCCCTCGATAATCGTAGGGCTCGAGAGTCGTAGATTTCGGAAATCATAGCGATATTTTCGTATAAACATGGGCTCACTAACCGTAGATTGACTCGCGAATAGTAGTTCATCCGGGACGCGTACGCACGCTGTGAGCCAGGGCGGCCTCCCTTCCCAGCCAGTGTGGCATTGTTTACCAGTGAGCGCCGGTCCCCTCACTTGCTCCTACGAAATATTTCATAATACAGTGGACCCCGCATACCGTTGGCATCACATAACGTTAAATCCGCATACCGCTACATTTTATCGCCAAGATTTTGCCTCGCACACCGCTAAAAAACCCGCTCAACGCTGTTTGTCCGAGACGCGTCTAATGTGCGCTCTCAGCCAGCCTCACATGTTCTGCCGGTGGCATTGTTTACCAGCCAGCCTCCGTGGTAACATCCAACCATACAATCGGAACATTTCGTATTATTACAGTGTTTCTGGTGATTTTATCTGCAAAATAAGTGACCATGGGCCCCAAGAAAGCTTCTAGTGTCAACCCTACAGGAATAAGGGTGAGAATTACTATAGAGATGAAGAAAGAGATCATTGATAAGTATGAAAGTGGAGTGCGTGTCTCCGAGCTGGCCAGGTTGTATAGTAAACCCCAATTAACCATCGCTACTATTGTGGGCAACAAAAAGGCAATCAAGGAAGCTGTTCTTGCCAAAGGTTTAACTGCGTTTTCGAAACAGAGATCGCAAGTGATGGAAGATGTTGAGAGACTGTTATTGGTGTGGATAAATGAGAAACAGATAGCAGGAGATAGCGTCTCTCAAGTGATCATAAGTGAAAAGGCTAGGAAGTTGCATGAGGATTTAATTAAAAAAAATGCCTGCAACTAGTGATGATGTGAGTGAATTTAAGGCCAGCAAAGGTTGGTTTGAGAGATTTAAGAGGCGTAGTGGCATACATAGTGTGATAAGGCATGGTGAGGCTGCCAGCTCAGACCACAAAGCAGCTGAAAAATATGTGCAGGAATTCAAGGAGTACATAGAAACTGAAGGACTGAAACCTGAACAAGTGTTTAATTGTGACGAAACAGGCCTGTTTTGGAAGAAAATGCCAAGCAGGACCTACATTACTCAGGAGGAAAAGGCACTCCCAGGACATAAGCCTATGAAAGACAGGCTTACTCTGTTGATGTGTTCCAATGCTACTGGTGATTGCAAAGTGAAGCCTTTATTAGTGTATCACTCTGAAACTCCCAGACCGTTCAGGCAAAAGAATGTCCTCAAGGAAAATTTGTGCGTGCTGTGGAGGGCAAACAGTAAGGCATGGGTCACTAGGGACTTTTTCTATGACTGGTTACACCATGCATTTGCCCCCAATGTGAAAGATTACCTAACTGAAAAGAAATTAGAACTTAAGTGCCTCCTGGTGTTAGACAATGCCCTGGTCATCCTACAGACGTGGAAAGAGCGACTTTATGGGGACATGAAATTCATTAAGGTGAAGTTTTTGCCTCCTAATACCACTCCTCTCCTGCAGCCCATGGACCAGCAGGTTATAGCAAAGTTCAAAAAACTGTACACAAAAGCTCTGTTTGAAAGGTGCTTTGTAGTGACCTCAGAAACTCAACTGACTCTAAGAGACTTTTGGAGAGATCACTTTAATATCCTCAATTGTGTAAACCTTATAGGTAAGGCTTGGGAGGGAGTGACTAAGAGGACCTTGAACTCTGCTTGGAAGAAACTGTGGCCAGAATGTGTAGACAAAAGGGATTTTGAAGGGTTTCAGGCTAACCCTGAGAATCCTATGCCAGTTGAGGAATCCATTATGGCATTGGGAAAGTCCTTGGGGTTGAAGGTTAGTGGGGATGATGTGGAAGAGTTGGTGGAGGAGGACAATGAAGAACTAACCACTGATGAGCTGACAGATCAACTTCAACAGCAAGAGGCCAGACCTGAGGAAACTGGTTCAAAGGAGGGGAGAGAGAAATTGAAGAAATTGCCTACTACAAAGATTAAGGAAATCTGTGCGAAGTGGTTTGAAGTGCAAACCTTCATGGATGAAAATCACCCTCACACAGCTATTGCAAGCCGTGCTGGTGACTATTACACTGACAATGTTGTGAAACACTTTAGGGAAGTCATAAAGGAACGAGAGGTACAGGCCACTATGGACAGATATGTTGTGCGACAGAACTCCAGTGACTCTGAAGCTGGTCCTAGTGGCATTAAAAGAAGAAGGGAAGTAACCCCAGAAAAGGACTTGACACCTCAAGTCTTAATGGAAGGGGATTCCCCTTCTAAACACTAACACTCTCTCCACCTCTCATCCCATCAATCATCACCAGATCTTCAATAAAAGTAAGTGTCATGTAATTGTGCATGCCTTTTTCAGTTTGTGTGTATTAAAATTAATATTTCATGTGGTAAAATTTTTTTTTTTTCATACTTTGGGGTGTCTTGCACGGATTAATTTGATTTCCATTATTTCTTATGGGGAAAATTCATTCGCATAACGATAATTTCGCATAACAAT